AGCATTTACCCAGTGCCTATACCCCCATTGTATCCTGGAAGTAATTAACTTGTTTTTGATTTACAGGCCCGTAGGCAGAAGGAACTTGCCTCGTCTCAGATGAGACTTTGGATTTGGACTTTTGCGTTAATGCTGGAATGAGTTAAGACTTTGGGGGATTGTTGGGAAAGCATAATTGGTTTTGATATGTGAGAAAGACATGAGATTTGGGAGGGGCCAGGGATGGAATTATATGGTTTGGCTGTGTGCTCACCCAAATCTCATGCTGAATTGTAATCCCTCATGTTGGGGAAGGGATCTGGTGGGAGGCGATGGAATCATGAGGGCAGATTTCTCCCTTTCTGTTCTTGTGATAGTGGGTAAGTTCTCATGAGATCTGGTTGTTTAAAAGTATGTGGCACTCTCCTCTTCTGTCTGTCTCCTGCTGGCCAGGTGTAGATATGATTGCTTTCCCTTTGCCTTCTGCCATGATTTTAAGTTTCCTGAGGCCTCCCCGGCCATGCTTCCTGTACAGCCTGCAGAACCATGAGGCAATTAAGCCTCTTTTCTTTATAAATTACCCAGTCCCAGGTAGTTCTTTACAGCAGTGTGAGAATGGACTAATACGACGGATTTGTCAGCTCCTGGCTTCTCCTTAAGTGAGGGGTGCCCATATTTAGAAGCCCTCTTCACAGGCACAGACTTATCACAGACCTGCTTCTCCAGGAAGGCCCCTCCTGAATATCAGAGAAGACCCCTGAGTGGCAGAAGTCCCAGATGTGCTGAGGTGGGTGGAGGTTGCTTCTTACCTCCTTGCCCACCACCCACAATCATCTTCTTCCCCTGTGCTGATCAGGGCTGGGGAAGCAGGGTTTCTTTGTTGGTGACCTGGCTCCTTTTTTGGTCCCCATTGAACTGGGACATCCCCAGGGGCAAGGGCTGTCTCCCTTATCAGGTAGGGCTCACCGTGTGATCAGCCCAGGAGCTTTCTGTCACCCTGGTCCCTCCAGGACATCAGTTTGGCCCTAGAAGAAGAAAGTCCATTTGACAAATCATTCTGTCCCCCGGGAGCAGGGCAGTGGCCACAAGACTCAATTCCTGACCATTCAGCAGGCCAGACAGCCCAGGCCCCAGGAATGGTGCCAGCATGGGGCTAGGGTCTGGTGCCCCCTGGGCTGGAGCTCGACCTCCATTCTGGTTTTCCTTGAGGATAGGGAGGAACCCTAAGCATAGCAACGAGGTTACTTCCCAGGACCCAAGTCCCCTTCCCAGGGTTGGCCTGCCCCATCCTGCCCCTTGGGGATTTGGCACTTGTCACCCTTCTTTGCATGGCCAAGCTAAGGACAGAATTAGCTCTCCACTCTCACTCTCAAGGCTCTTTGAGAGCCAAACCATCTGGGTGAGGGACCAGAATGGGGCCTCCTGGGATTCTGCCCAGCACTTTCTTTTGGTTCCTCTGGGAAGAGATCCAGAAAAAGACTGAAAGCTCCTGGCTAAGCGGGAGGGGGTGGGGTGGGACCAGGCCCTGTCCTGCTGTCAGAAGCCTCTGGGGCTCTGGGAAGCCAGGTTCCCACTCTGCCAAGACAGTGATTGGTTCTCAGTGCACTGGGGAGGGCGGAGCTTGCAACTCCCGGGGTCCAATCAGACTTCAGGGATCCTTGCTGCATTCCTGGCCTGCAGGCTAAATGCAATTTCAGGGAAAACTCAGGAGTCAAATCCTTTCCAAAAGGCTGGGCTGGGGCCACACCATGAGGACACAAATCTGTCGGCAGCTCAAGGATGGACAGAAAAATCAGGACTCAGCAGACAAAACTCCCACTTCATCCTCCTCATTTATCCCTGCCTGCTGAGATGTGCTCATCCCCAATCTGTTTCCTGGGAAAGCCAGTGAGAGGCATCTGCTCTCACTTAGACACCCTAAGGTGGGGTGATAGGTGGGTGTGGACATCCCAGGAGGATCCCTTTAGCACCCCCCCCCACTTTGGTAACATGTCCTCAAGGACCATGAGGAGGACATGGTCCTTGGACAAGGAGGTGGGGTCCTGGCTTGGGGTCATGTCATTTGCCGTCACCTGGTGCTGCAGTCAGCGAGGGGATTTAGGGGTCAGGGAGAGCTGGGTTCAAACTCTAGTTCTAGATCCCTTTAGCCCAGGAATTCCAGGCTGCAGTGAGCTATGATTGTACCACCGCACTCCAGCCTGGACAACAGAGCAAGACCCTATCTCTAAGAAAAAAAAAATTCTGGCCGCACTGCTGACAGGTCCACTAACCTGAGAAGGGTCTCCCCTGCTGAATCTGTCTTCTCACTTAAGAAATGGGCTTCATAGTACCACCTTCCCAAAGGTTAGTATGCGGCAGGTGCGGTGGCTCACACCTGTACTCCCAGCTTTCCTTTCTTGAAGCCATTTTGAAGCCAAGGCAGAAGGATTTCTTGAGCCAGGAATTCTGGACTAGCCTGGGAAACATAGCGAGACCCTGTCTTTACAAAAAGTGAGTAAGTGAGCCAGGTGTGGTGGCGCATGCCTGTAGTCTCAGCTACTCAGGAGGCTGAGGTGGGAGGATTGCTTGAGCCCGGGAGGTGGAGGCTGCAGTGGCCATGATCACATCGCTGCACTCTAGCCTGGGCCACAAAGTGAGATCTTAAAAAATTTTAGCGGGAGGGAACCCCGACAGCTGCCTCTTTTTTTTTTTTTTTTTGAGACAGAGTCTCACTCTGTCACCCAGGCTGGAGTGCAGTGGCATGATCTCAGTTCACTGCAACCTCCACCTCTTGAGTTCAAGTGATTCTCCTGCCTCAGCCTCCCAAGTAGCTGGGATTACAGGCAAGCACCACTACGCCTGGCTAAATTTTTTTTTTTTTTGTGTATATATATATATATATATATACATATATTTTTTTTTGTAGAGATGGGCTTTCACCATGTTGGCCAGGTTGGTCTCGAACTCCTGACCTCAGGTGATCCACCCACCTCAGCCTCCCAAAGTGCTGGGATTACAGGCATGAGCCAACATGCCCGGCTGACACTTGCCTCTTTAGGGCTCTGCTTAACACCTTCTGTACCCTCCCAAAAGTCACTATGTCCTTGAGCATGCAGCTGGAAGCCATGCATGGCTTCCCTATGTCCTCAACCTATATTCTGATTTTGCTCATGACGTCTTCTTCCCTGGCGTGGCAGCCTGCTTCAGAACTAGCGACTGCTCCTCCACGTGTGATTGCATTTCCTGCTATGTCAATAGCAGACTCGCTCCAGCCCAAGAGGCGGAGGTTGCAGTGAGCTGCAACCTTTGAACAGAAGTGACAGTGTTGTTTCCAGGCAGAAACTTCAAGAGCCAGTGCACAGTTCAACAGGTATGTCTACCCTCTGCCACAAGGCATCCTCCCAGACAGAGGCCCCTGGGCAGCTTGAGTTTCAGAGTGAAGATGACACGGAGCAGACCTGTAGTCATTCTTGAAGGACAAGTAGCAGCAGTAAGGCAGAAACCTTCACTGTTGGATGCCACTGAGATTTGGGCATCACATCCTGGCTGCTCCACATCAAAGATGTTGGAAGTCTCCAGAGCAGTCTCAAAGTTGTGTGTGTGTGTGTGTGTGTGTGTGTGTGTGTGTGTGTGTGTGTGTGTGTGTTTTGCTCTTCAGCTGCTGCCAAGTGGCATGGATAATGAAGACTTGAAATGTTCTGGCTGGGGACTGGCCACCATTCTAGGTACTCAGTCAAGAGTGGCTACAGGCCGGGCGTGGTAGCTCACACCAGTAATCCCAGCACTTTGAGAGGCTGAGGGAGGAGGACTGCTTGAGCCTAGGTGTTCAAGACCAGCCTGGACAACATAGCATGATCCCTGTCCCTACAAATAATAATAATAATAATAAACAGTTGGGCATGGTGGTATGCACCTGTAGTCCCAGCTACTCTGGAGGCTGAGGTGGGAGGATTGTTTGAGGTTGGGAGGTTGAGGCTGCAGTGAGCTGTGATTGTGCCACTCTGCTACACACTCCAGCCTGGGCAACAGAGCGAGAGCCCATGTCAGAAAAAAAAAAAAAAAGGCATGGATATAATCATGACTTGGCATTTCTGCACGTAGACCAGACTGATCACCTGAGCTGTATCTAATATCCTCTAAGCTGGAAGGGTTCAGCCTGAGGTTTGCATGTAGGTTAAGACTATGTGACTCTTGCAGCTCCTGGATTGGGTCCGAGGGCCATGACCTCCTTCATCTCCCGGGAACCTTGACTGCTCCCCTCCCGCCACCCTGCCCCCAGCCTGTAAGAGCTGTATGAATGGAGGCCACTTAAGATGAAATGACGCAGCCCACTCTCTTCCCCACTGCCCAAGATGAGGTTTACTAAGCTTGTGGCAGCAGGGAGCGCACGCACCAGGGGAAGCAGAGGGCATTGCTGCCAGGTCTTCTTGGTCATGACTTTGCCCCATGGATGGAGGTTGAGCCAATCTCTTCTGCCACTCCAGACCTCTCCCTGTCTGTCCTTGTGATCAAATGGGCCTGGGTCTGTAGCACTCTTCAGCACTGGCCTTATGGCGAGTTCTCGCTGTGTTTCTGGTGATGTGTGATCCTTTCCCAAGCAAATTACCGGCCTCTTGTGCTCTTCTCAGCAACGTTCCCCTCTCTGCACCAAGCACACCCTAGGTGGACAGTGGGTGCTCCGTAAAGACTGGTTCTGCTCTCCTGAGTTGCTGGCCTGGGGGCTGGTGGTGGCATGGCAGGATGGAGGGCATCTCTAGCTGTGGCTTGTTCTCTGCAGACTGGTTCATAAAGGTCACACCAGGGAGACAAAGCGGCCTCAACCCATGGCTACTGGGAGGAGCCTGGCAGAGCTGGCACGGAAGCCTGTACCTCCCTCTGCCCCTAGGCCTGGGCTCCACTTTCTCTCCTGATTTCTGCCCCTTCTCTCCGCCCTTGGCAGCTGGGGACCCCGAACAGACCAATTCTCTCTCAAAGGATGGGGTTTTGTGGTTGGGACTAGCTCCCTCCCAACTGATCACCAAAGATTTGAACAAAGAAACTCCCAAAAGCCATCTCTCTTTATTTTTCATTCCTGCCGTTCAACCAGTTTGCACAAGCCGAGGATGAGTGGGTTTTGGAACGGGAGGCAGAGCATCTGGGGACAGACCCTCCTGGAAATGGTCTATGCACACTGCTGAGGCTGGTTAGACTTGAGAAGCAATTGAACAATAAACTCTACAGAACTGGAAATGTACAAAAGTGTCGAGGTGGCTGCTGGCTGGTTTCCTGCCTCCCCGTGGGGGTCAGTTACACCCATCAGTCCTGTGCAAAGGTCCTGGGACTGGCCCGGGGGCAGTTGGCTTCTTTGTTGGGGACAGGAGCTGTCCTGCTCACCCAGCAGAAGTGTGCCAATGGACAGGCGCTTGGGTGTGTGCCCAGGTGCCGTGGCCCCCAAACGCCGTGGCTCCTTGAGCATGTCTTCATCCTGCCTCTATGTCCGCCCTTTGAAAGTGTTCATGCAGGTGTAGGTTCCTGAGAATTTGTGGATCTCCTCGAGTGCAGCCTGTGGGAGTATGCTGGGGGAGTGGGAGGAAGAAAAGAAGATGTCAGCACAGCGGGATCCAGGGCTGGGTCGCTGGCGGCCATGTGAGACAGGGCAGCACAGGGCTGTTTCTGAGAAGGGCTCCCCATCCCTCCAAGCCACACACCAGTTTCTCCCCAAACTCCCACCCTCTCCAGGGAAGAGCTTTCACATAAGTGGATAAGCAGCTGTTAAAAAGGCAGGGGAGACTGGGCGCAGTGGCTCATGTCTATAATCCAAGCTCTTTGGGAGGCTGAGGTGGGCAGATCACTTGAGCCCAGGAATTCAACACCAGCCTGGGCAACATGGTGAAACCCCGTCTCTACAAAAAATATAAAAATTAGCCAGGCATGGTGGCATGTGCCTATAGTCCTAGCTACTGGGGAGGCTGAGGTACGAGGATGGCTTGAACCCAAGAGGCAGAGGTTGCAGCAAGCTGAGATCACACCTCCACATTTCAGCCTGGGTGACAGAGCCAGATCCTGTCTCGAAAATTGTTTATAAAAAAGGCCAGATGTGGTGGCTTATGCCTGTAATCCCAGCACTTTGGGAGGCCAAGGTGAGTGGATCACCTCAGGAGTTCGAGACCAGCCTAGCCAACATGGCGAAACTCAATCTACTAAATACAAAAATTAGCCGGATATGGTGGTGGGCACCTGTAATCCCAGCTACTCGGGAGACTGAGGCAGAATTGCTTAACTTGGGAGGTGGAGGATGCAGGGAGCCGAGATCACGCTATTGCATTCCAGCCTGGGTGACAGGAGTGAAACTCTGTCTCGGAAAAAAAAAAATCTTTTTAAAATATATTTTTTAAAAAGGCAGAGGGTGGGTGGTCAGAGCAAATTTTTTTTTTTAATTTAAATTTTTAATTTTTTTTCCCAGATCCTGAAACAGAGCTCTTTTTAAAAAAAAATTTTTTTGTGGGTACACAGTAGGTATCTAGATTCATGGGGTACATGAAATACTTTGATACAGGCATGCAAATGTATAATAATCACATCGGGGTAAATGGAGTATCCATCCCCTCAAGCATTTATCTGTCATGTTACAAACAATCCAATTATACTCTTTTAGTTATTTATATTTTTCTTCTTATTTTTTTTTTTTGAGACAGGTCACCCAGGCTGAAATGCAATGGTGTGATCTTGGCTCACTGCAGCCTCTGCCTCCTGGGTTCAAGTGATTCTCCTGCCTCAGCTTCCCAAGTAGCTGGGATTACAGGCACCTGTCACCATGCCTGGCTAATTTTTATATTTTTAGTAGAGACGGGATTTCACCATGTTGGCCAGGCTGGCCTCGAACTCCTGCCTGCCCCAGCCTCCCAAAGTGCTAGGATTATAGGTATAGCCACCGTGCCTGGCCATTTTAGTTATTTTTAAATGTACAGTTAGATTAATATTAAGTATAGTCACCTGTTGTGGTATCAAAGATTTGTTCTTATTCAGTCTATTTTTTGTACCCATTAAAAAAAGGATAGTTAGATGCCACTAAGTAGGTGGCAATGCCTTAACCTGTGTGTGTTCCTTGTCAGGGGGAGTGCTGACCTTCGGTCCTTTCATACAACACACACTTTCAAAACCAAGCTCTTGGCCGGGCGCGGTGGCTCATGCCTGTAATCCCAGCACTTTGGGAGGCTGAGGCGGGTGGATCACAAGGTCAAGAGATCGAGACCATCCTGGTCAACATGGTGAAACCCCATCTCTA